CGCACTTCTTGGAGAAGCCGCGGAGCAGCCATGTCATCCTCCGGCTCAACGTCTCAAGGGCATTGGGAGAGAGGTAGCGCCTGATCTGAATGACCGGCATCTCGCTACCGACGCACCAGTATGCTGCTGACTCATCGATGGTAGGACCATCCCTTCCGGGAGGTGCACGCGCAGGCATTGCCTTGGGCGGCGCAGCTCGGGAAGGAGCAGGCAAGACCTTGTTCCCCAGGTCGGTGACGTCTTCGCTGAGATCGATGAGGGTCTTATCCTGACGAACCCTCTCTCTGGTCTGATGCAAGATCTCTTCCACGGAGGAATCCGGCTCGTTGATGGGGAGGAGCGGTTCACACGCAATGTCCGGATCGTCAGGATCATTGATGACAATGGTGTCGATGCCGCGCTCCTTCTCAATCTCGACGGCTTGCTCGTCATCGAGCTGGCCTTCAACCGAGTCGAGCGCCTCCATCAACCTCCTCACACGGGGGTTGTTCGCGTCGAAGAGGATCACCTCGTCGTCATCGCCGCCAGACCCGTCAGGGTTGAGGTAAGCCCGGTCGTCCTCGGTGATAGGGACAGCACCCATGTCTGGGTGGTCTTCGTCCGAGGGGTTTGTAGCCTTCCGGACAACGTTCTGGGCGACAATGATCTCCTCGCTTTGATCTCTCGACGTAGGCGCCCGCCACGCGAAGTCCTCAATCCTTGGCCTCACCATGTCGGTGCACGGTGGGACCGTGAGGGACATTTCCGGCTGCGCCAAGTGGAAGTGATTGTTGAAGATCTGGCTTCGCTGATTTGCAAGGAAGTCCTCCCGCATCATGAAGATCTGCCGACCCGTCAGGGTGGTGGAGACAAGCGCTCGCCACCAATCCGTGGCAGCTTGAAAGTTGTCTTGCGTGGCAACCATGTGATATTTGTCGTAACGAACCGTGCCATAAAGAAGCGCGTAAGGGTCGACGACCCTCACGCCGTTTGCGACTAGGTAGTCGGTGTGCTTCTTCATCTCCCTGTCGTACTCCCAATCCAGCCCGTAGGCCTGGGCGACAGTGCCAGCGACAACGGTCAACGACCTGACACACTCATGTCCAGCCAACGCAACAACCTTCCGGAGTGCGGTTTCCACCTTGGCCAACTGTTTGACGGGCCAGTGCTCCGCTCTGCGGATTTGCTCTTCGGTCTGTTTGATCCAGGGCGACACAAGGTGCCACGTGTAGCCCTGGTACCCATACGGGCCATGGACGTCGTTCCCCGCCCAACTGATGAAAATATCCAACCCGTCAGGGTGGTGGATCCTCAAGAAATCCTCCACGATCTGGGTGAGGAGAGTGAGGTCCTTGCCCCATTCCATCATGACGTTGACTTCCGTCACGCGAGGGTCATGCGATAGAACATCCCGAAGGGGACCCTGGAATGTCATCTTGTTGATCGCACGACCGCCCTTGTGCGTGCACAAGGCGAGAGAGGAGTCGCCGATGATGAGAACTTGGGATTTCATCGTTGGCGGTGGCGGAATACGTTCAAAAGCCGGGGTATAGAAACCCCCCAGGAGCTGTACCACATCCGTGTGGAGGGGTCGGTCAGAAAGGCCGTGCTCCATCTCGGTGACGCGGTAGCACAAGTCGTATGGCTTTGAGACGTCAAACGCACTCTGAGCCCTTGGCCCCCATCCCACGACAGCCATGTCGAAGATGAGGTCGAGCATAGTTTGCGTCCATCCCGCCAGGGAGGAGTCATGTACCGTTTTGGACGGCACGTCGTCAGTGCTGTAGGCCCTGACGCCGTAGATCCGGTACCACCTCATAGATTGTGGTCCACGGCACACTTGGATACCCCTTCCGGAGATCGAGCCACTGTTGCACAGGGATGACACGAAGAAACAAGTCATCGGGACTGTCAGCCTCCGTGGGCTCCCGGAAATTGCGCACTGCGTCATTCCACCACGCTGGTGATGAAAGTCCAGCCAAGGCGTCAGCCAGGCGATCCGCATCGGTAGCGGCGGCCGACATTTCTTGGAGGCGAGCAGCACGCTCCTCTGCGCTGAGAATCTCAACTGCACGAGATGCCATTCCTTCAGAAAGGTAAGGAGGAGATTCGAGGCGAGGATTGCTGGGGAGCTTGATTGCTGGAGCGGCTACGTATGTGCAAGGAGTCCTGCTCATGTTTTCCTGAAACGCCTTGTGAATTAGATCAACCATGCGCAAGCAGTACTCTTCAGAGCTGCGATTACACTTGCCATGCACGTGCCCTCCAGTGCAACACTTGTCACGGAATGCAACATACAAGGAATCCAAGGTAGTAGCAATAGTCCATGGTTTCTTGACGGATTCACCCTTTTCGTTGCGAAGACCGAAACGACAACCGTCGAAGTGGGCCTTCCGAATGGGTTTCCCCTCGATCCATTTGACAATCCGAGTCCATTTCCAATACTCGCAGTCCTTTGGCCATTCAATGGCATAGTCGACTAGCAGTCGATCGAGGCCATGGGACAGGTCGACAAATGATGCCCAAAGCTTGGTGAATTTCCTCCGGGCCTCGAAGACGGCGCTTCGGTTCTTGTCGACGGCAAGATTAAGGCGAGCCCATTGCGAACCCCCCGTACAAGGAAGACTAGCCCAAACGAGGATACGAAGACCGTCCTTGTGGGCCTCCTTTGCGATGGACAAAACTTCCCGTCGGGTTTTGGGATCGTTCAGGTTCATAGACTCAGTAATGCGAACGACCTTGCAGTCCTTATATTTGTTAATAGCAAGATTACCAATTAGTGAGTCGTCACCGCAACACACTTCAATGATCAACCGCTTGTGCAAAGGAGGAGACCTCTGCGTCAGCAGGGTGGATCCAGGAGTGGTGGCGGCCGCGCCAGATTTCCTCACATCAAGCTTGAGGGGAGATATGGCCATAAGTGCAAGAGCACGGGACCACTTCTCAGCATTGGTGAATGGCTTAGTGAGGATATCGGCTGCTTGCAACAATGTACTGATGTACGCAATGTCATAGTGCTTTCTTCTAAACTGTTCAGAAATCCATCCCAAGTTAATCCTCTGCGTTTTGTCAGCATGACGAAAGGCTGGCGACTTACCTGACTCAAGGATTCTGATGGTGGCTTGGTTGTCCTCAAGCACGACAGGCTGAATGGAATGTGGAACCGTAACCACAAGTCCTATGTCCTTATCTGAACCCTTGGGCGCAAGCTCTTCCGAGGACCGACCCCCCGTATTCCTGATGCCTTCAATCTCGCGGTGCATGAAAGCCTCCGCGTCAGTGTGGCGTCTGTAGTCCATTGTGGACCTGCGATAGACGATTACACACGCTTCGGCTTTAGGATCAACGGGTCTATCCCTTCTCTTAAGTTCTTCCCAGGCAACAGCTTCCTCAGCTTGAACCCAAGTACCCTTTAACTTAACCCAAACGTCGCGCAGTGGATGAGTGTTCATCTCAACTGGTTCAGGCAGGGATGAAAGGTTGGTGAGCAGTTCGACCACTCTACCATCAATGAGGTGCGAAGTGCCCAGGTAAGTAACTCCTTGGATAAGGGAAGTGGTTAGAGAGGAGTTTATTGGGAACATCACCCTTCCGGGGAGTGTGCTTAGGTTTTGTGCTGCTATCCCCCCCCGCATTCTGAAGCACGCTCCAAAGCGCGGAAGAAGGAAGACCTAATGCACGCAACGAAACATTTGCACACACGACCTCGGCCTCAGTGGAACTAAGGGCAATGCTGGTCTGCTTCTTACTGAAAGCTGCAAGGGGGAAGTACGTATTAGGACCAACCAAAGCAAGGAAGCCTCCTGAGGTGCTTTTGCTGTCATGCTCACCTGCGTGGTCGCTGTCAGCAAACAACCACAGCTTGCAAGTGCTAATGTCGTCACCTATGAATCCGCGCATGCGGTACTCCAACGTAGACGCGACATAGCACATCAAGCGATGCAAGGCTTTATCGCACTCAACAGACCACTTGGTGACGCGACTGGCTAATCCCTGAACTGCGCGCAGCAGATCGTACCTGGCCATCCTTGCTGCGAACAACAGCTTCATGAGAATGCGGCTTGCTATGGGAGCAAGCTGTCCGCGAGGTTCGGCCTCGGTGCCAACCGGGCGAGCGATCTTGTCGTCATGGAAGGGCGTAGCAACCTTTCGCAGGTGTTGGAATTGTGGGCCTGCGAGCTTCTTGTACTTATCAATGGCTTGCTGTAGAAAGGAACTCATGTCGTACACAACTTCCTTAACACCCTTAGTCATGCAACCCTTGTTGTCGCTCAGTTGGTTGACATCGAAGAATGCTTTCTTCCTCGCTTCTTTCTTAGCTTCATTCTTGTCCCTGATCTTCTTAACTGCAGCAAGAGCTGACGCATGATCGTGCTTATCCGAAAGAAGATAGGTAGCACCAACCCATAATTTAGACCTCTTACCCCGACCGACCGGAAGGATGATCCCATGATTGCTCGATAAGCTCATCATCATCAATGGACCTCACTTCCGTGAGTCGGTGTTGACCAACGGCACAAAGCTTGGCTTCAGAGGCCGGCAAGGCATAGAGTGCACGCCTGGGCTGAACATGGTGACGCACCAAGACACCTTCTTCGGGATGGAATTCAGTGTAGTCCTCACGCACGACTGCAGCGGCAGTCTCCTTGGCAGCAGGATCACGAACGTTCTTGTCAAAGACGTGGGCAAAAGGATGATCAGAATGCTTAAGGTTTGCGCTCTTAGAGATGTGCTCGCAACCCAAGTAACGACCTATGGGAGAGGGAGAGTCCATGTCAATTTTCGAACTGATCAGCTCCCACCCTTTCTGCATGTTGGCTTTAGGTCCGGCCATCTTAAAGTCATCTACATAGACTGCAAGCAGAAGACGAAGCTGGGGGTGGAAGAAAACTGAAGGCCACGCAGCCGGGAACACAAGCTGAAACCCGACCTCGCCTAACATCTTTTCACAGTGTAACTCCCAAAAACCCCCGCTATCAGGATGACCGTAGAGTCTACGGTAGAGTGCCAGCGTCAGCCGCACGACAGGATCTTTGTACTTTCCCTTCCACGCTGGAGGCCATCGATCAGGTGGCAGCCTGACCCACGTTTCCTTTCCCTTGAGCGTGGTTTGGGTGTATGCTTGTTTGCCGTCGGCCTGCTGACAGTCGTTGCCCGGTGCATGCCCATAGGCGTCAAGTGCTTTCCCAGCCTCCATCGTGGCGGGACTGGATCCGAGCTCACTGAAAAGAGCCTGATCACTATTCTCATCTTTGACGTTGTTCCCTTGGAACACAGTTCGACCCTTGAATTTTCGTTGTGGGTCACCTTTGGGAAGCTCACTTCCCTTTTCTACGCAGATCTCAAAAACTTTTCCAACATGAACCTTTTTCCCCTTTTTGATGGCTTCATCACTGACGTCTTTCCACTCCCGAACAGATCCCATATCCCAGGCTTTCTTAACCATTAATTTGTTCCATTCAACATCAAGGGCAGCCTGGGCCTTCGGGTCCTCGAGGATTTCTCTGCGACCAACAGGCCTTGCGACATGAGCAAAAATCTCTCGTACCTCGTCCTCTGAGACAGGAAGGTTGCTGGAAATCTTTTCACGATGTTCGGGCTCATGAGGTACGGTAGGCATGGCAGGGAATGCATCCTTACCATCTCCGTCAGGAGCGGGACTGTGGATTCTATCCAAGATGAACTCAGTCTTGCCGATCCACTTGAAACTAGTCTTTTTGTTCCGCTTCCTAACATTTTTCCAATCGTCATCCTCGTGGATGACGTCAACACCACCTACGGGAATGATAGTTGTACTCCGTTGCTTAGAGATGCGCGATAGTTCGATCGGACAATCGGTGATGTCCGGTGAGAACATTTCTCTTCTGGGAACATAATGATAGCGTATTAGCTTACATTCGTTCAGTCGGACCTCCCAGTGGTCCTTGCTCGCAGCAGGTGCTGCGGCGGCGGCAGAGGAGCTACCGGCTGAACCCTCGGTAGGAGTCTCCATGTCACGCAATGCTTGTTCGCGTGCCTCATCAACAATGGCCTTCTCCTTCTGTTTCTTGGACATGTTGACCCAAAGGTATGAGGGAATGGATTCGGGCTTCTTAGAACCTCTGGTGCCTCCATATTTTCTACCAAGAGTACCCCCCGAATCATAGTACCGACCCCCTTCAGGAAGATCAATTTCTTTCCCTGTCTTAGGATCAAGTACCTTCTTGGGCGGCTCGACCTCTCGGTCTGCGGGTGCACGCGGTTGCTCATCTGCAGCTTCGGCGTCCTGATTGGTGAGCGATTGACTGACAGGTCCTTCAGTGGCATCTGATGCGAGACCTGCTTGAACCCTTTCATACCTCTCACGCATGGGAAAAACGATCTTACCATCAGTGAGCTTGTGCTGCGATGCAATAACTGGCTTCAGGCACTCGTGGAAATCATGCTTGTTCAGCTGCTTGAGATGAATTGCAAAGACCTCCTTGCGCCATTTCATACCAGGCTGGAACTTGTATCCCATAAAGATCGCAGGCTCACTGGTAGGCTCGAATCTGTCTCTTCCCTTGCGCTGGGCCTTCGGACCAACCCAAACGTCAATCCTACAACCGAAAGGAAGGGGTTCTTCAGGAAATGCAACACCAAAACGCTTGAACCACGGGGTAAACTCTTTGCCCCCCGGATTGCTGATGTTGTAGGCAGTGCACGCATGCTCAAGGGCAAACGGCCAATAAACATGCGAAATGCCAGCTTGAATGAGATTGGTGCGAGTGCCCTCAGTGGTGGCTCGCACAGCACGCTCAGCAACAGCGTTGGACTGATGGATATAAGCCTTAGAGAGCTCATGGCGCCAGCCGAGCGTCTTGGCCGCAGCCTCAAGTTCCCTAGACTTATCGCTGTAGAAAGTCTCCACATTGTCCTTCGCGGATGCGAAGTGCTGGAGCGCCACGAGGCATTCGTCTTCCGACTTCAATGCAGCAGGGTATGCACACATGAAACAAGTGGCAACATCCTTAACCACAAGTGCAAGGCGCGAATCCTCAATGACAGTTTGTTTGTCCCTGTGCAGGATTAGATGATCTGCGGTCACATGGTCGCCAAAGACCTCTGCTTCGATAGTACTGGTTTCCTTCTTGTAAGAAGGAGGCTTGTACATCTTAGCTCGTTGGCATATTTGGCAATAAGGGTTCTTGGGGACATGAGTCATAAGGTGTTCACGGGTTGTTGATTCTTCGATCAGAGCTTCTTTGCTCCGACTACGAGCTCTACGTTCAGGTGCTTCAGGATCGTCACTTGATGCTGCTTCCCCATCGGGGGCATCGGCCGCTGCCGGGGCAGGAGGACCAATGTCCGGTTCAGCACGCACCTCGTCAGAGGGCGGAGCAGGGCGAGAACCATCTAGAATGGCTCGCACCCGTGCCGCACCTTCGGACCTGAGGAGACCGGGGTCTCGAACACCATCCCTTGGCTCGGATTTTGCTTTTGGTTCAGGCTTAGGCTTAGCTTTAAGTTTTACTGTAGGCTTGGTGCGATCCGGCAAAGGCCGGACAGGCGTGTCTTCCTCCATCAGTTCCCTGAGAGTCCTTTCGTCAGGATCATCGGCGGATGCCGGCGCAATAGGAACCCTCTTGTGAGGAATAACAAACCCACAACCTCGAAGCTTCGCAACGTCCTGGTTATCAAGTTGGTAAACCGACCTACAGGTGTAGGCAGTAATGCTCCAGCGTTCACCCTTCCAAGGTCTTACGGAATGAGATGTCTTCGGGTCAAAAACAACAATCTTGTTGTGACTGTCATGGACCATCCCAGGGAGTTTGGTGCCTACAGAATCCTTGACCTCTAGATAATTTTTGTCGGTTTTCATAGCGCTCGGGTCATGAATCCAAAGGCCACCATCGGAAAACTCTCCCACGGCAATCGTAACGTTGAGATGGTCTTTATGATTGTTCACATCCTTATGGACCTTGATGGGCGAGTTCTGGTTGATGCAGAGTGAGGAACAGCTCTCCAACTCTGCGCCTCTCTTGCGAAGAAATGCGATGAGATACTTGATAGTGTTAACGTGGCGTCCAGTTCTCTTGGTTACACCATGAAACCCTCCATGTGCAAAAGCACCAAGTATCACGTACTTCTCTTTGCTACTGCCGTGCTTCTCTCCTAGTGCTTTTCTTCTACTCCTACCCGCTCCGAAGTTGACGGTGCGCAAGAGATCAACGCATGATCGCTCCGAGAAGTCGTGCTTCTCCAGAAGCTGCAAAGCAATCTCTTCAGAGCTGCGATCAGGCATTTCATCTCTGGCAACCGACTGAATCTCATCGGACTTAGATTCACGCGCAGGGCAGGCAGCGCCCTCCTTCAACGATTTGAGGAAAGGCACATTATCTCGAACATCAAGGAAAACCCTTTCACCCTCAGGGGTCTTCAAGTAAGGGCGAGTACATGCTCTCCAAATGAAGTCGAAACCTTGCTCCATGCAACGCTGTCCTATGGAGAGGACTGAAGGAGTGTCGGGCAGCACGTAAGGCTTGGCAGAAATAGCAATCGACGGAACGTCGACATCACATTGCTTGTCGGCGGAGCTGGGACCGTTCGCGGTCATGATGTTGATTGGCTGTTCAGACTCATAAGCCTTCAAATGCTGGAGATCCCTCTCTGCGATTAGGTCCTGTGCACTCCCGGTGTCGCCAATCCATTCAAGGTTAAGCATCTTGGAGGACCCTTTAGTCTTAGCAGGGCACGACATTCTAAGACCCTTTGGGATACAGTGATTACATCCAATCTCCGAATCACACTCCCAGCGGCAGGCCGGAACGTCGTCCTTGGTAGAGATGGAAGCTTTCAGCATCTTCGCTGACATCTGTGCCTCTCGGATGGAGTCTGCTCTGGTTTCTGGGACAAAATCCAAAGGCTTTTCTCCTCGATGCTTACGGTTGGTGGGCGATATTGGAGTGAACCTCGCGTTGGGATCACTAACAGGAATGTTAATGTAATCGACTTCAGAGCTGAAATTTACCGCTGGTAGCGCCAGACTATAGGGATACGTGCAATTGGTGATCTGGTCCGTCCACTCCTTCCGGAGGGAGAAAGCGTCGGCTTGGGTGGCCGAACCAGCAACAAGAGCACTGAGGAGACATACAGCAGCAGGGATACCGCCTGAAGGCTTCTTTCTGCCTGAGCCCTTCGAGTTCTTGGAGCCTTGACTTCCCTTGGAATTCCTGCTACCCTTAGAACCCTTGGAGCTAGAGCGAGAAGACTTGCGATCTTTCTTCTTCTTGCGGTCCTTCTTCTTCCCTTTGCCTTTTGACCCCTTCCCACTGGTTTCGGAAGGCGCAGCTGCCCCTGGCTTGCCTGTATGGAGAAAATTACAGTTCTCCCCCCGATCGCAACGTCCTTGTTTGTAGAACTTGCAGATCTTAGGCTTACCACCGGGGCTTGCAGAGCTTGCTCGTGAGCCAGCCGGCGTGGCAGAGCGGCCGCGTCCCTTGGCCGGAGTCTGGTGCTTGTATTTACACTGGTCACCTTTGGTACAGGAACCATTGCGGACCCATGAAATGCAGAAACCTTTAGGAACCCTCTTAGGTGCAGGTGCGGTGGGCACAGCAGGACTGCCCGTCTGTCGAGCCATCCGTTCCCGGTTGCGTTCAAGGCGCTTCCTGTTGAGGTGCGCATTTGCAGCATCAAACAGGAAACTGTAGGACCGTTCTTTGGAACCTTCAAGAGCTCTTTCATAGATGTTGATGTCACGCGAGAGAGCTTTGACCTTCTTGACCTGTCTGTGAAATAGTGGTTCGAGGAACGATGCTTCAGGGGTTTTGGGAATCCCCGACAACACCGTGTCCCAATTTCGCATAAAGGTGAGAAGATTCTCATTGAGCAACGTGACTGAAAGCAAATCTTCCATGTCATACACCGCCCCATGCTGAGCGTTCGTCGCAAAGTAGTTGTGAATCCTGAAGAGAATCTGCCTTCCTCTAACTGGGCGTCCGGCGTTGGCCTCTGTTTCTTTGAAGGTGTCCACCTGACGTGCAAAGTCACCTTCCAGGATGTTCGACAGAGCTGAAAGGATCTTAGCATCAAGGGTGGTGAATCCTTCCGGATCACGAAGGGTTTCCTCCTTCATATCGGCTTCCCAAACCCTAGACAACCATTCGAAAGCTTTGTCGGGCTTATCAGACGCAGCTACAACAGCGTCGCGAACTCTGATGCGCCAATTGCGATAGCTCTCAGGCTGAGGAAACTTTGGGACTAAAACCTTCTCAGCTTCCTTGGTTTTGGGAGCCTTATCCGATGATTCGGCTTTGTCGGCATCTTTGTCATTTGAACCACCTTTCATCATCTTCTTGAAAAATCTCGTCATCTCTTTTGGTGAAATCGCCGAAGATGAGGAAGAATCAGAGGACGAAGATGAGTCCCTCTTTTTCTTCTTCTTCTTCTTCTTCTTCTTCTTCTTCTTTTTGTCGTCCTTCTTTTTCTTCTTGTCTCCATCATCATCATCATCGTCATCATCTGGGTCACCTGGTTTGCCTTTGCCTTTGCCAGGCGGTGTGTCAAGGCGATGAACCTGTGGGAGGCCGGGCGGTGGCCCGCTAGGACCAGGGTTGCCTTCCGGCTCCCGATGATGGGGCGAATCGGTCTGACTGGCAGCCTTCTGAAGCATCTCTTGAGCTTGAAGCAACTTAGCACGAAGATCAGAGTTCTCGCTCGTGAGTGCTGAGCGGTGCTCGGCTTCAGAATTGAAGCGTCCGATCATAGCATTGAATTCAACCTTCATGCTCTCAACCTGTTCGGACAGCCTCGCATTGTGAATGGCGTACTCACTCTGAACGTTATGAGAAAGCCTCTCAAGCTTGGAGTACTCGGCATTAGCGTAGGCTTCCGCCTCGCAAAGACGTTTGTGAAGTTCAATGGCTTCAGTCCTTGCTCTGGCAAGAGCAGCAGAGTGCTGATCAATGATACCTTGATCGTTGCTCGACTTAGTGGCTGCTTCACTCTCAAGCTGCTTAAGATTGTTTTGAAGGACGGTATACTCATGACGCAATTGTGCCACCTTGGATGTGGCCTGGGAACTAAGTATGTTGATTTCCTCCCTATGAGCCTCCCCTATGGCTCCTACGATTTCCCTGTGGCGCGCCTCTGCGGCCATGGCAACGGCTGGCCCAGTGTCGGCGTTGACGTGGATGTCAACCTGGCTCAGCGCCAATTGCCTTGCGTCGACTTGATTCACCTGGAGCTGCCTACGGTCTATGTGCTGGGCATTGAACGTCGGAGAGAACACTGAAGAAGCTCTCTCTGTCGGTGAGTATGCTGGGGTGCTTAGCCCTGGAACCATGTTCCAAGAGTTCACGGAGCCTAAACCTGGAACGTTACCAGTGGCAAGGCGTTGCTCGCTAACTGCTCCAACATGCATGATTCTTGGATCGTTCTGGGCTGCAAGCATTGCCAAGTTCTCTTGGCTGAGCGGCATAACCTCACCATCCCTGGGAGGGTTTTTCGATGCAGCTGTAGGTTCCCCTACAACGGGGTTGCTAAGCAGTGACATTGTTTCATCCTCCACAGGTACGGGGATTGCTGCAGCATTTCCGGGAGATTGCCCTTCCATGACACCGGCAGGTAGTGTTAGAGTCTACGGCTGATAACCTATTGTTACCAGCGGAAAGCCCTAAACTCAACAAGTACAGTGCTACGCACCTTTTGTCTTGAGCCAATGAAGTAGCGTAAATACGGTAATACAGCTGATATCTTGAAGTATCGACAGTTTAGGGTTTAGGGTTTAGGATTTAGGGTCTTAACCCCTCAACCTTAGACCCCCCCCCCTAAAGCACCTCACCACCATCCCAAAAGCCTTCTAAAGCCGCAAACCCTACAGCAAGCATTCCCGCTTCCTAGGACCCAGAGTAGGCCCTTTAGGGTTTAGGGTTTAGGGTTTTGGGTTTAGGGTTTAGGGTTACAGTCTAGGTTCCCTTCTAGAAGCACCGTGAGGTCAAAAAGGGCACACTTGTGATTCCTTGGTTACTCTTGGGCCCCCCTTCTAATCCCCTTCTAATCTAACGGTATTTCTATGGGCCCTTACCCCCAAACCCTAAACCCTAAACCCTAAACCCTAAACCCTAAACCCTAAACCCTAAACCCTAAACCCTAAACCTAAACCCTAAACCCTAAACCCTAATGTGGTCCCTTACCTCTCTAAAGGGTTCCGGAGTCTGGGTACTTGGGCTTTATAGGGCATATCAAGGGTATATATGGAAGTCCCCCGTTTAAGGGCCCATAGCGGCTAGCAACTCCTCTAAGATCTAGTCCACTAAACCCCTTCAACCAGAACCCCAAACCCCATTAGGGTCTGTGGCTTAGGGTTTAGGGCTTCTCAAGCAAAGCGAAGCCTCATTTCATACATGTTTCTTATGTCAAGTCTCCAAGCTGCAAGGCGCGAACCTGGTAGCTCCCCTCTCTGGGAAAAAGAAACCCGACTGAAATTATTGCACCTTCGAGGTGGACAGAACGGAATACTGGTTGTTGCTGCTTGGCGGTGAACTAGAAGTAGCCCGAGGTCTTAAAGCCGCCTAGATCAAGCGAGAACCCAAAATCCCTAAGCCCTACAAGGAGGGGCCCCCTTACTATACTAACTGTAGTTCAGAGACTTATAACCTAATTTAGGGCCCTTATAACCCAAGCTAGGGTCTTATAACTCTACTTACAACTAGTTCGCCCCCACCTTGTAAACCCAAAAACGGTGAGCCCCGGCCTTCAGCTCCATACTCCTCGCCCTCTGCAAAGGCTTCGCCGGCGGGCTCTTCGGCTGCTTTTTTCTTCATCTGCAAGCGTGTAGGGTTGATAAGGATTTTGGGGTTTAGGGGTCTTGGTTCATTCAAGCTTCGGGTTTAGGGTTGATGCAAGTGTGTAGGGTTGATAAGGGTTTTGGGGTTTAGGGTTCTTGGCTTACTCAAGCTTCGGGTTTAGGGTTAATGATTCCGGACACCGAAACCCTAGGCTTAGGACCAGAAAAGCTTGAAGGCACAAACAACCTCTGCAGGTAAGCTGACCTTCCTTGGCCAAAAGGATTTCCACCACCTCTGGGCTGGGGGCCTCACCCTGGAGCTGAGCGACGAGCCTGTCTAGCTCTTCTGTCTTCTGTTTCTCTTAGTAGCCCAGTAAAACCATATTACAATAAGGGCACCCTTTTTTTGGTTGGTTACCTTATATTAAGGGAGCCCAGAACCCAAAAAATAAAGGTTAAGGGTACCACTGGGCTGCCAAGTCCTCTGGGAACTTCACACCGAGCTGTAGGCCAAAGCGAGAAGCCCGCCGCCCTGCAGGGCGACCGGAATTTTCACCCTGAACTTCTGCTGTTCCAAGCCTTCCAAAAAGCTCTGAGCCGCCGCAGTCTATGCCGCAGTGGGTTCAGTCAGTTCAAGGAACGACTCAACGTCTGCAAGGCCTGTCTCTTGTCTCTTCCTCGCCTGTTGTGCGAGGCGCAGCACGGTGGGTCCCTTGACCTTGCTGCTTTTGGACTGCCGGTCCCCACCGAAAAGATCCGCACCTGGGCGCTTCACTCCTCTCGGGTGCTCTCCGCCCCCCAGCGGGTCTGCCGCCGGTAAATGACTAACTCGTTTCCCTGGCAGCTCCTAAACCCAAAGCCCTAAACCCTGAAACTCTAAGACCCCAAGACCCCCAAGACCCTAAAACCCTAAAACCCTTAAAACCCTGAAACCCTACAACCCTAAAAAACTAAAACCCTGAAACCCAAAAACCTAAAACCCTAAAACCCTAAAACCCTAAAACCCAAAAAACCCAAAACTCAAAAAAAACAAAAAACCCAAAACCCAAAACCCGAAAACACCAAAACCAAAAAACCCAAAAACCCACAAACCCAACAACCCTAACCCTGAACCGTAAACTCTACAACAAGCAACCCCCCCCCCCCCAGTAGGGAATGAGGGAATTAGGGTTCTATATGAAGGCCCAAAATGGGGGTTTACGACAATAAACCCAAAATAGCCCCCCCCAAATAGTAGGATTCCGTTAAGATAAGGACCCCAATAAGGTACCCCAAATTTCGGAAACCCCCAATACCCTTTTAGGGATTCAAAAGGGTACCTTATGCGCTCCCCTAAATCCTAAACCCTAACCCTCACTTGCGGCGCTGCCTTTCCCGAGATCGTTGCGAAGACGACGCCCTCGGCCCAGACATGGCATCCACAATGGGGCCCGAGGTCATTTTAGGGTTTAGGATTTAGGGTTTAGGGTTTAGGGTTTAGGGTTGGGGGCCTCCTCCTGCTCCTCATCACCATGATCAGTAGCTATAAGAGCTGCAAGAGAGGAAAACACAACGCCATGAGACCTGACTAATCCCTCCTTCAACTAAAACCCGAACTGACCCTAGCCAAACCCTAGCGAATACGAAGCCCCAACGAAACCCAAACCCTCAACCCCAAACCCTAAACCCTAAACCCTAAACCTTAAACTCGAAACCCTAAACCCTAAACCCTAAACCCTAAACCAAAACCCAGTCTATCCCTCTAAAGCCGCGAGAGGCGCAGACGCAGCTCCCTCCAGGCAGAGGGGGGGGGGGGAAAGGGGAGAGGGGAAAGGGGAGGGGGGGAAGGGGGGAGGGAAGGGGGGGGGAAGGGAAGGGGGGGGAAGGGGGGGAAAGGAAGGGGGTGAAGGGGGGGGTGGGGGGCGCTGCCACAAAAGGCTTTCGTGGTTGCCAAACTCTGCAGCCATTGGCATGAGCCAGAATGGCCTCCGGTTGCATGCTATCCGCGTTCTCGGGCCTCCTCCTCAGTTGTAATAACCACTTTCTTGGTTTTGGCATCCTCCGACTGGCTGTGTTGCCCTTTAATGTCGGGGGGAGGGGGGGGAAGGGGGAAGGGGGAGGGGGAGGGAAGGGGAAGGAAGGGTGGGGGAAGGGGGAGGGGGGGGTGGGAAATAAACAATTGGAACCCTCCTGACCCTCTTGCCTAAAAGCCCTATGAACCCTACTAAGCCCCAGCCCAACTCTCTCGCATAATCTAGGTGCCTTAATAAGAAGAATAGGGTTTGGGGGGGTTCTTATAGTATAATTACAAAGGGACCATAGGGGAATATTGTTTGTAAGTATTCCGACCCCCCCCCCCATAGTAGTCCTAAACCCTAAACCCTGAACCCTAAACCCTAAACCCTTAAGGCCGCGGCCATCACAGCCAGGTGCAGGAAGAAGGCTACGCCGACCGCAGCCGTCTTGGCAGCTCCTGCAGATTAGGGCTTAGGGTTTAGGGTTTAGGGGTTTAGGGTCTAGGGTTACAGAAGTGCAGGTTGACAGTACCTTGCAAGGTGGATGCATCGGATCCTTTTGAGTACTCCTACCTGTCTCGGAAGGGTCCAGGAATTCGTGGCTTTAGCTCGCGCAGGTTTTAGATACAGAGAGTAGGGTTTAGGGTTTGGAGCCCTGTCCCCTTGCCCCATCGCCGAACTCAATTGCATTCGGCGCGTCCAATCTCCAAACGCTGCTACTTGAGGCTTTTGCGTGGACCAAACCTGGCGGGTAGATCACTAAATCCGAACAAGTCAACCGCTCTATCTACCGGAAAGCCTCCGAGATAGCTGGGGTAGAAGTCTCGAACCTTCCCCCCGAAGCCCGCTTTTGTCAAAACCCCAACCCTCTCAGGCCTCAAGCCCCTCAGCTTACCTGACCCTAAACCCTAAACCCTAAACCCTAATCCCTGAACCCTAAAATCTTGAACTCCCAAAAGACCGCCAAATCCCTCAAAATGCCTCATGGCCTTGGATCCTTGCTGCACCTAAAACCTTGAACGCCAAGAGTTTAGGGTTTAGGGTCTATAGGGTTTAGGCTTACCTGCCCATCCCCCCCCCCCCATCCCCCGCCCCCGCGGTTTTGTGTAACCAGGGACCACTTGATCGCCAGTCCATTACATGCGGCAAGCCCCGAAAAACCCATATTGCCTAAACCCTAAACTTCCAAAACGCACGTTTAGAGTTTAGGGTTTAGGGTTTACGGTCCCAACCCTCAACCCTCAACCCCCAAAACTACCTAAACTTGCTAGACACTAAACTTCCTCAGCCCCAACCCGCACAACCCTACACTCTTAAAAACCCCTAACCCGAAAACCCCAAACCCTGAACCCTAAGACCTAAACCCCAAGCCCTAAACCCCAAGCCCTAAACCCGAAACCCTAAACCCCAAGCCCTAAACCCCAAGTCCTAAACCCGAAACCCTAAACCCTATACATCCCCAAACCCTAAGCCCTAAGCCCTAAACCCTAAACCCCAAAACCTAAACCCTAAACCCTAAACCCTAAACCCTAAACCCTAAACCCTAAACCCTAAACCCTAAACCCTAAACCCTAAACCCTAAACCCTAAACCCCAGCCCTGTCCTGCTGGAGCCTTGGGCGTCTCAGGGGCGTCACCCACGGGCCCAGGATCGCCGACCTCGCCCTGGTCTCCTGTTCAAGCCCTAAACCCTAAACCCTAAACCCTAAACCCTAAACCCTAAACCCCGTAGTTGTTTTTGATTTCCCTTTCGGGTGTAGGGTTTGCCTTAAAC